ATTAAAGAACCCAATTGAGCAATTTACTTCTGTTTACATCATATGTACGATGCAGCATTAATGGAGCTGTGAAATGAAATGAATATATCTTATGAAAGTTCATCTGGAAAAGTCAAAGATGTACATCAGTCTGATCGTGAAAACATTTTCTTCTTCAATTCGAATGTTATATTTGTCGTGAACGGACCGAGGTTTCCAGCCTCGGCCACGGCAACACGAATAAGTGATGCAGATCCCACGGGTGCGGCTGCTTCTATTGCTGCTGCTGCTGCTGTTTCTGCTGCTGCTGTTTCTGCTGCTGCTGTTTCTGCTGCTGCTGGTGGTCCGTCACCTCCAAAATTCGTTACAAGAATGACTTCAACGAGCTTAGGTACTTCATATTTATACCTGCTAACCTATCAAAATTCTCTAACCAATGAGATTCTGTTTACATACGAACTATCACGCTCCACGCTCACTTGACTCTACTCATTATTTATTCAACACTAACTCTATCTACTACAATATTGGAAGGATTTTAAAGCAAATTTTCACGAATTTTATATGCAGTCTGACAACATTATCATCATCATGCAGTGGCGACATCTGTGTCGAGCTTTTACGGCAATCTTCCAATAATGGTCTGATCAATTATTCCGTTAGGTAATTTTAACGTTTGTTGTAAAAATGATGTTTTGGATGCATTTTAACAACATAAAAACTGATAATTGTGGATTTTAAAATTAGACGACAGCCCTCTATGATCTCAAAATTTCGCAAAAGACGCCTCCCTATAGCTGTCAAATTAACTTTTGGGAATATTCCTCAAACATTACTTTTCCGTTTTCTTTTCAGCTGCGTACCAGGCTTAACGGAATTAATGAATTTACGTTATACGGTCAACCAGCAGATGGAAATGTATGTAAGTATGTAAGGTAGCCACCATCCCTTCAAAGATCTTGTCTTGTATGCAGCTCCACTTAATAGCAAGATCAGTTTGAGTTACCGATCTGAATTCAGAATATCGCTGTATGAAGGGCCAAAAACGGAGGTGCGGACCCGTAAGCAGAGACACTTACACGAAATCCACGGGAAATTAAGAATCTCCTTCCAACGATACGATCCAACAAATCAAATAACACAATTTGCAATACTTATTAAGCTTCCTACAGGATGGTTTGTAAGGAAGGGCACCTCAATCTCACTGAAACTGTTTAAGTAGAATTCCACACCACCACAATCGAATCGGTAGGATAAAGAAAATGATAGTGTTTATTCCCTCCTAGACATCGGTTGTCATACCACTCCATCGTCCAGTTCCAGGTCAAATGATACCCTGATGCTCCCTCCCAACGCAGTATTTATTTATATAATGAAAATATATGTCATGGAGAAATGAAATATAAGAACATTAAATATGAAATAATGAATTTAAATTTATATAGATAAAATAGTTGATATCCTGCAATGTAAATAATAATTATTTTACATATAAAAAGATGCAGCTTTATGTTTCCTCGGCTCACAATATCAAGTGGATGTAACACTGAAATTTCAAGGTTATATAAAGCAAATATATATTTTTTATCTCTAATTACTAATAACGTAAGGATGTAAATGTAAAGTGTGATGTAGAATTAACATGACTAACAATAAATGGGATTACGAGAAAAATAAAGGAAAGATCTCACCCGATATGTTGCAAAGGAATCCATGACATCGCGATTATTTCGAAGAGCTCCAATAGATATGCAGCCGCTACTTCTTCAACCGGTGTTAAAAACAGCACTATCGTCTTCGGTTCTCACACAGCAGCGCAAACCCCAACCATCCACTTTCCATCACCAATCACTCGCGACGCCAGCTCATCACCGGCCGAATCAACTTGCGACCAACGCCGAAATTTGAACCAAAAACTCTAGCGACCGAAAACCCACACGTCTAATAGCGGCCACGGCACACTTCGATTGCATTTCTGAAACACAACCTAAACGCACAAACACGACGATGACAACATTCGTGCGGGAGGTGGAACGCCAGCACGCACAAACAAAGGGAAGACAAAATGCACACACAGAACACGACACGAGCTGAACTGCTAAAGTTGAAAGCCAAACGCGAACTGGTCAACCAGCAGATGGAAATGATGTGAAAATGATAATGACATTCCATACGATTTGACAGGTAGCAAAACATCATTATCATGTTTCACATTATTTCCATCTGCTAGTCGACCGTCACGTAAATTCATCAATTCTGGAAGATGTTGAAAAAACTGGTGGGAGAAGACGGAATAACCTTTCGAGCGAAGCTAGAAGAAGCTTGCGAGGGAAGTCGAAATAACTTATACCCCGGACAGACTATGGCTTATATCATGTAATATAGGCTGGCTTGCAATGAACACTCATATATAGGATTTCCAGTGAAAACTAGATGTATGAGTGCTCATTGCAAGCCAGCCTATATTACATGATATAAGCCATAGTCTGTCCAGGGTATTAGGCTGTGAACCATTTGCCGAGTTATACCCCGTTCACATTACAGCGTATATCACGTGATATACGCTGTCTTGCAATGAGCACTCATGCATCTAGTTTTCACTGGAAATCCTATGTATGAGTGTTCATTGCAAGACAGCCTATATTACGTGATATAGGCTGTAATGTGAACGGGGTATTAAGTTTAACTCGTGGTTAAAAGTGACATTTCTAAAGTTATTTTCTATGTTCGAAAATCTGTGCTGTCGATCGACCGGTTTTCGAGCCACGGTTGTCACAATTTAACTTCTTGTCTGTCAGAAATAACCATGCTCGGATAGCAGGGTTAATCGATAACTGTCCATCTGTCAAATTTTAACCAAAAGTTAAAATAATCCACCAAAAAATGGTTCAGAGTCTGGAATCGGAAAATAACATACGGGGACCCAACCAACCATTTCGTTAAATTTCTTAAATTTTCGATATATCGATCTTCAAAGACATTCATATGAAAAATTGATAGCGATCGTCACCATTTAATGAATAAATGAAAAAATACTAAAAGCCTGATCGTGAATCATTTATAAACATCTTTTTCAAAATGTTGCTACTAATCGTTACATATGTAAAAATATCGATTCGTTTTGCCAGATCAAAACATCGATTTCTCTTATCAGATCAAAATAACAATACACGGTACTTATATTTTTGGGATTTTTTTTTATCTGCATAATTGCTAGGTTTCGATCCCATGCCATCTAGGGTGTACTAAATTCTTTGTTCAAAATGCCGAGAATCCTACCACGCTTGTTCCATCGCTGATTCTTAAGAAATGACCGAGAGCGTATCGACGTAAACTTAAAGAACTATAATGGCAAACATTTGTATCATCGTGGCCATCGATCAGTCTCCCCATTAATTTTCCGGCAGATCATGCTTCTCTCGATGAAGAACCAAATTTGTCGATAACTAATATAAACATTGCCATCTGTCACCTAGTGTGTATCAAACTCTCTTTATCCAGCGATGCAAATCGATACAAGGAGATTATAAATGTGCATCGATGGCAATCTTTATTGTTCTTTACCAAAGTTCAACGTTACGATGGTATCAGTATTCAAATATTTTTAGATGAATATTTATAAAGAAAACTATAGTCCTTGTGACACATCGAAATTAGAAGAAATTTAGTATGGCATCTTTATAGATTACTATCATGCGACCGATAAAGAAATTATCTTAAATGCGAGGGGGACGACTCTATCTACGATGCAAAAAAGATTGTGTTTTGCTGTGGCTAGCTGCGCGCACGCTGAGTAGATAGAAAGAAGATTGATGACGATTCTGAAGATTTCCTGCAAAAAGATGATGAGCGATGCAAGTAGATGCGACAAATGAAAGAAGATTTTTCGAAGATTGATTCGCTAGTGTGAGATTTGTTGAGTATCTAAACTTGAGATTTAGATGTGTCGCCCCCCTCGCTTAAATGTAAGTATCGATCAATAAAGGTTTTTAAAAATATTCATCGAAATCAAAGAAACTTGAAAGTAAAGAATTACCGACATTAATCTTTATTTTTGTATAAAGAGCTTTGAGGAAGTTTCACGAATGGTTGGTCAGGGACGAGGGGGACGACTCTATCTACGATGCAGAAAATATTGCGTTTTGCTGCGGCTAGCTGCACGCACGCTGAGTAGATAGAAGGAAGATTTATGTCGATTTTGAAGATTTCCTGCAAAAAGATGAAGCACGATGCAAGTAGATGCGAGAAATGAGAGATGATTTTCCGAAGATTGATTCGCTAGTGTGAGATTTTTTGAGCATCCAGAATTGAGATTTAGAAGTGTCGCCCCCCTCGGTCAGGGAAGGGAATAGCCTCGGAAATAGCGAGATAAAAAATCCAAGGGAAAATTAGTACCAATAGACTGAGGCTGTGAACCATTTGCTGAGTTAAATTTAACTCGTGGTTAAAAGTGACACTTCGAAAGTTATTTTCCATGTTCGAAAATCCCCGTGCTATCGATCGACCGGTTTTCGAGCCACGGTTGCCAAAATTTAACTTCTTGTCTGTCAGAAATAACCATGCTCGGATAGCAGGGTTAATCGATAACTTTTCATCTGTCAAATTTTAACCAAAAGTTAAAAAAATTGGCCAAATGGTTCAGAGCCTGAGTGAATCCGCAATCTCTACTTTTCTACTTTTTCCTGGAAAAACAAGAGGTAAATTTACACATCGATGAGTTCCTGGACTTTGTGATTTATGAGTTAAATTTACTCAAATTTGGGACGTTCTCATTTGTTGGACAACGCTGTCGATTGCAATTAATAGAGCAGGCAGCAAGGTCAAGGAACCGACGATCGTCAAGTCAAATGTTGTCTCAGCATGCAAGCTGGATGGATTCATTCTCTGTGGAGTACTACGATTCCTACGTACCTTAACGTCTTCATCAAGGGAATGTCATCCAGAAAAAAAAATCTACTCTGTTAACCTACAATGCTTGAAACTTATTCTTACCTCTAAATAGCCTAGAATCTATCGAAATCTTGTTACATGCAAACACACTTCTGCAACCTCAAAGACACCTCCTACACCAGATAGCTCTTGGAGATCTGATAGTAGTGCGATCCGGTGTTGAACGGAATCTCGTGCCTTGCTTTGGTGTAGTCCTTCGGCTGAAGGTACGTCTCCCGAATCGTCGGTATCGGCATCGGTGTCGGCAGGTCCCGCTCGTAGATATTATCTCTCGCACCGGGTCGTCTCTGTCGGGCCAGCGCCGTCGTTGGCGGAAGCCGCTCCGGACTCATACCGGCCGACTTCCGGGGCAGCTTCGTACAACTGAGGATGATACTGAGAAGAACGCAGAACTCCACCACGGCAACGATCAGCCCTGCGCACAGGAACAGAAAATACTGCTCCCGGTACCACACTTCGATCTTGTGCAGGCAGCCCTGAAAAGTGAGATTTAGCAAGACATGATCAACGTGAAACGTCAACACTTACGTCCAAATGCCTGTTGCCTTCGTAGTCGTGTGGTTGCAGCGCTTGGCAGAGGGTCAGGTTCATCGGGATCGGATCCAGGTAGGCGGAGAACTCGTAGCGATTCTGCAGCCGGCAACAGGTGAGCGGCACTGTCAGTTCCTTTTTGCCCAGACTTTGCAGCTTCCACAGCGAGGTGTCGTAGTTGATGGCCGTGTTGATGGCACAGCACTCGAAGATGGTTTGTGCCAGATCCATTGCGGCGGTAAACTGCTCATGATCCGGGACACCGTAGCTGCCCTGCAGCGCTTTGACCATGGCCGTTTCGTCCAGATTGAGACCGAGACACTGCGGCCAGGCGGTGATCATCAGGCAGACGCCGAACTCGGCGATCAGGAGAGCGAGAATGATGAGGAAGTACTGGAATGGTGCGGTTCAAGTGAGGTGAAGAAGAATTTTAAAGAATGAAGTGATCTTACGATGGTCAGTACGCAGTATGTGTTCATGCAGGATGCCCAGCATCCAAGTAGGGCTGCAGTTATGGCGATCAGGCCTGCTATGGTGAGACCAAGAGCTACATAGTAGAACAGCGGCTGCTCGAGCTCCGAGAGAGCAGTTTTCTGGTGTTCGGTTGCTGAGATCAGTAGGCGGGAAAGCAATATCCGGGGGGCATCGGTGAACATGTAAAATCCCGTAGCGAGGAGTGTGACGCCGCAGAGCTGCAAATAAAAAATTGCACACTTCCATTACAAATTTCGACAAGATCTAAACCTTGAAACAATGGTATGAAGGTAAGATGGAGGAAAAGTGAAGAAAAGTGCAAGTAGACAGTCGAGGCAATTTCCCCTTGTTAGGCATTTATTCGATCGAGTTCACATGGTTAATTTCAGCAACGTGCGCCGGCTCGAGCAAAACCATCAAGCAGCACTAATTGGAGACCATTTGAAGAAACACTTGTAAAACGGTTGTCGAAGGAAAATAAAAACGACAAGGCCGTCTTCGAATGATGTTTATCTCCCTAATCCATCTCTCTCCAACATTGATATTGTCTGACAATTTGAGCAATTCGGCTTTTGAGCTTCGGTGGAAAAACAAAACCACCGAAAAGTTATGCATCATCAATTAAAATTTCCCTTTCGGTTTCGTTTCGTGCAATTTCTATCGGCCGCCACCATCCGAAGGGATTTTTCATTGAAAATTTATGCAATTGGGGCAATTTTCACAGCCGACAGCCAGCGGCTTGATTAATTGACTGCATCAGTGTGTTGTTTGCGTGCTAACACCGCTCTGCCCACTAATACCATCCATCCGACTACGATTACGATCGAAAGCATGTGAGAAAGCACTGCGAATGGAATTCGCTTTGACAGTTTGTTAGTGTTTTGTTCTAGTTGTTGGTTCAAATGAGACATTGACCCGCCATTGTTTGCATTGTCCAACCTGCCTGGCTGCCGCCGAATACTGCAGAGCAGATTTCAAAACTGGAATTCACGCAGAAGGCTGTGGGAATGACAGTGAAGAGCGAAATTGATGCGAAGGTTATCGCAGTAGGCATTGCGTGGCTTCTCAAAATGGATAAAAAAATAATATAAAAGTATAACGTCAAAGTCACCATTGAAATCGATCCACGATCGATGCTCATTTTTCCTCTCTCTCTCTACCGGATCAGTTTCTTTTGTTTATACATTTTCATTGAATTAAAGATGCAATCGAAACGGTTATGCAAGCAATAATTAAATAAATGGGATTCGTTATTAATTTTATCGAAATTATTCATCATCTTGGCGAAAATAAACAACACGGTCACACACAATTAAATGTTACATATACCCAAATATGATCGTCGTTCACCTACTGCACACACACACAGTAGGGTGTAAACGATAATTCCAACGAGCTGCGCCGCTTTTTCACGTCGTATTTCCTCCTATCTACTTAGGCTGTCGTGTTTCCTCATCACAATCAGTCACTCGGTTGAATATCGTCAACATGGTGGCTCCACCCCCGCGCGCAGGGTTCGTTTATTTACATATTCATGCGCCACGCCACCTGTGTAGGTTTTCGCACCGAGCCGATTCATCGTTCTGATCGTCCGGCAATCGGTTGTTGGTGGTCCCATGGAAGTCGGCATGGGACAGGTGTGTGAGTATAATTTAATTATAGCATGTGCAGTAAATCACAGTGTAGATATAGTAGGGTTCATAAGTGACTTATTACGGATCAAATGAACATCCGTTGGCTACCGAAAAGCTCAACTGCAGCGGTCAAAGTTCTACCAACAATCAATGCGGAACTAACGATTGTAACAAGTACGCTTTCCATTTATTTAGTCATCTATTTAGTTAGTTATATTGTGTACAGAATTCATGTTTTACAATTTGCTCATTTAACCCCTTCGGGATGGATGGGTCATAGATACCCACTCTCTATTAGGGAATTATCGCGTTGTAACGTGCCAGTGCGGTGTTACTCCCAGCACTGATGAGACCCCCGTCTCCAAGCCTCAGGGTCGGCACACGCTCGTGATTATTCCGCGAACCAAGAAAACACTCAAAGTTCACTTAAGACAAACTCCCACTTTATTCGTTTTGACGACACTCACTTCACGGACGGTCTTCCACTTCCTTAGATGTCTACTCCTACCTTGTGCTAGCACTACTCTTATTTTGTCTTCGTTGCCCCTTCACCTGCCACTGCCGTAGTCGTCGTTCCTCTCTTTCCTCTGGTACCGCCTCACCTTCTTGGGCCAGGGGTGGACGGCTCTACCTGTCCCGTACGCCCCTCGAGTATGGTGACGGACTCGAGGTTTCAAAGAACCACAAGGGTAAGTTGACTTGCCTGGATTGGTGGCGCACACTGTAGCTGAGGGATCAGATTCTCGAACTGCGATTCGGGCACACTACCGGCAATTGGCGACTCCGGAAAAAACACGTTGAGTACGCAAATGTTACGGTAAAACCGCGAGGTCGTGGCTGTCCAATGATACGTGGCAACTTCCTCTACAACTTCTTCAAACTTCCAACTTAGCTCACTTTAGCACTTTAGCTTTAGTTTTCACCTTCAAACTATTAATTTTTAGCTTTGACTTTCGCTATGTAACCGTAGTCTATAATAAACACCAGGCTTATGACTGTGCCTCTTGGTGGACGATGACCCCGAACCGTGACCGTTGAACCGTCGTACGTGCCACGAATTCTCCACGCAATGGCCCGATTACGCCACCCCTATGGACGTCCATTCATGACTGCACACAGCGTGCTCTGGTGGTGGCTAGTGGCATTGTTCTACAGTTTATAGCGAAGTGTCTCCTACTGGCTGCGTTCGTGAGGATTCTGGGAACATTTAAACTTTTTCTTGGAATTTAATAACTAAATATACGAAAACTACACGCGATTAATCTCACCAATCTTGGACGCAACGCTTACACTTGTTACAGCGTTTATTCTCGGGTGCGTGCGAAAACGAATTTTTTTGTCAGTTCGAACCTCAATCTGAGGTAGGTTTTAAAAACAATCGATCAAACTGACGTTTCTCAGTAAACAAGCAAACCCAATCTTGATACCCGATCCGCTATATGATCACCGACAAACCGACATGAAACTTAAACTTAAATCTTGATCGAGAATCCATAACGGCCGATTCAAATGTGCAGCGATGTCAGTTTTGTACTTTGAGCAGAAATTTCTTTGTAATTTGTATGATCATTCATGTCAGTTTATCGGTGCTAGAATTTCGACTAGAATGGGTTACGTTAATTGGATTTGCATGGAACCAATAGGCTAGTCAAGTAGTGAGCCAATTTAAAATCGTTAGTTTCGTATTGATTGTTGCTTATAGGCCCGTCGAAAAACTATCAAGCCGAACAATGCATTAGGTCCTAAGTAACATTGATCGATTCTCCTCGTCCACTTTCTTTTTCGTTAATAACTTGGCTACAAATCCGTTTCTTGCCGAGTTTGCCGTATTGGATGCTAGATAATAGCTTCTTTTATCGAACTAGACAGAAAAAAATCTGAATTTTAACTATCGCTTAAAATCTCCCTTCGTTTAATTTTGAGCTATACTTGGCATAAAAGCGAAATCGTTTACAAGCTTGCATACAATATTGCTAGTCTATGCGATATTGCGCTTAAATTTACACGAAATAGCCAGATGTCAGAAGTGTGCCTTGGTTAGAAATTTTATTGTTTTTGCTATGGTCATTCATGTCGGTTTGTCGGTGGTATCTATACATGAACGTGGGGATGCAATGAAAAAATCTACTAAGAGAATCTGTCAATGTTGCTAAGGTGCTAATTCATTGTTCGGCTTGCTATCACTTGAATTTACATTTCGTTATATCAAGCTGAACATTGCATTAGGTCCAAAGTAACATTGATCGATTCTCTTAATCGGATTTCTCTTTCGTTAATAACTTGGGTATAGAACCGTTCCTTGTCATGTTTTTCGTATTAGAATATAGATAGATCTTTCGTCGATCTGTGAGCTGAAAATAGCTGGGTATGTCCTAACATGGCCATGAGGATGCAAAGAGAAAGTCGACGAAGAGAATCTGTCAATGTTACCTAGGACCTAATGCAATGTTCAGCTTGATATGTGTGGTCGTGAGATGATCTATTGCACTCGTGATTTATGTCTAGATAGAGCTGGAATTAGGGCGTAACAGCTTTTGTAAACAATGACTTCTATCGATGGTTTCTAGGAACTCAAGGCACGCCAACGCAGACCAACATAACCATCCGATAGGGGAAGTTTTTCCCTACCCAATGAGGATGTTGGTTTGCTTGGGCGAGCCTTGAATTTCTAGAAATCATCGATAGAAGTCATTGTTTACAAAAGCTGCTAGGCCCTAATTCCAACTCTATCTAGATGTTATATGGATCAATGAAAAACACTATCTCTTTAAATCCTCATCAGTGTTTACGCGAGAAGTGGAAGTGACGTCAACCCTATGGTTACATATGAATGATAAGGAGTGTAAAAGAAGCGCGATTCCACATGCCGGTTCATCTTCGATAGGACGAAGTTTCATCCATTTATAGACACAATTTGAGTACAGTAGACCGACATTTGTTGACTACACGCTATTTCAAAACTACCCAAATTTGGGTAGAATCCACCCAGATTGGTCAAAACTGAACCTACCCAAAAATGGGTAAACTGTGTTGGGAGTTACAAGTTGACAAATGAACAACATTTGCCTGTGGACTTGGAGACATACTTCAAGTCCCTGCGTACATCGTACGGGCTAGGCAAAAATGTGCGTCTATCTTGAAAACTGTCGCTTTAATGGCCCTTCGCTCATTTTCAACTTCTATTCAATTTTCATACTGCCGTACTCTAACGGAACTATCCACCTACCCTCTTCTAAAAGATCATTCTCTAGCTAATAAATCATCACACTAAAGCTTCATGTTAGCATTTCCAACCAACTCCGGAAATGAAAAAAGTCGATCGGATTCATGTCAATGTTGTCCATTTGTCAACTTGTCAATCCGAACATAGTTTACCCATTTTTTAGTAGGTTCAGTTTTGACAGATCTGGGTGGATTCTACCCAAATTTGGGTAGTTTTGAAATAGCGTTTATGTTTGTTACTTTCTAATAATGCCTTGTTCAAACTGAGCAGTTATAACATGTTATAACGGTTGTCAAATAATTGCAACACATAAACCACCATCAAGATAGCGTTATAACATGGTATAACTCTGTAGTCTGAA